CTTCTCAATCCATAGGGAATGATGTTCTAAAAGTCTTATTTCTCAAGACATTAATGTCAGATAATGTAGATAAAGTCTTGTCATGTGAATGGGGCAAAAAGTGCAAAAGTAGGACAACAGCATTAGAAGGAACCATCTGGGGTTGCCTTCCTAATTCATCTGTTACTATCTAAAGATACGTCTGCAGCTCAAAGCTTATAATGTCATAGAAGATGCCACACAGCATCTGTATATGGAAGAATGAGTAAAACTGGTTATTAAAAAGTTGGAGGTAAATCTACTTAAGAAAATGACTGTACCACGGCAAGAAAGAGATGTGTTAAACATCTCATCAGATGTGGTGGAGACTCCTGTTTGAAAGCAGAATATTAATGAATAATTAAAGAACATACCTAGATGAGGCAAAGGGACTTTGTAAATCAGGACATACTTGAGTGAAAAATAACAGAACATTTAATATTTGCATTTTCTACTCTTACTCTCAGTACTATCCATTTTGCACACATTATTAATACTATCAGACATGAAAAGTCACAAAGCAAGGTCCAGGGCAGTTTAATTGTTCCTAAAGAAAGATGTGGCTGTCTGACTTCTTTGCTGACTGTCAGCAAAGTTATAGGATTTGAACACATCACAGGCTATTAGGTAAAATCCTAGTCAAAATACTAGTAAATACATTACGTTAAATTAAGAAAACAAATTAGGGAGAAATCTGGTTGCCATCCTATATCTCTCTTTTCTCTTTATAAGTAAGTGTGTGAATGTGCATGTGTGGCAGGTACTCAGGATTTTTAAAAGTCGTTTTATGTGCATTATTTAATTTAATATTTACAACAGTTATCAATTACATAAATATTACATCCAAACACTTAGAATAGTGACTCACATAGAGCAAGTAAAGTATAAGCATTAGAAAAAAATTGTTATGTGTTCAGTAAAGCTAACACCTACATTACACCTCTCCATGTACAAGGCATCAGCCCAAAAGCTCCACACATATGAATATTACCCTAGTCGAAGCCTCACAAACCTATGATGCAAATCCTTACTCCTTGGTTTGATTTACTAAGGAAAAAGCTGACATCCAGAGAAGGCAGAGGAATCAGGGAATGGAGCCAAGATTTGAACCTGGTCTCCTTGACTGCAAAGCTCATGGAAAGTGAGACAAGGAGAAAATAACTTGTCTGAGATAACACGGATCATGTGTCAAAATAGGAATATGAACCTAGGTTCATTACTCTTTGTACTTGTGGTATAACAAAAAGCATATATTTTGCCTTTGTCCCTGGCACAGAGCTCCTACAACCCTTGGAATTTCCTGAGTGAAAAACCTGCCTTTTGTTGTTCGTAACAAGCCTCTTTCAATCATCCCTGAGTTTACACTGTTGAGGTGACTCTTGGTGGACACTTAGATAGCTTCATAGCGAGAGCTGGTCACCAGAGAAACCAACCATGTAATTAGAGGGTTGGAA